AAGGCCGAAATATTTCAGTAAGTTCTATAAGACCATGATATATATCGCCCAAAAAAGTTCCATAAAAATCGGCTTAAATTTTTTTTTCAACAGTTAATTACAAGAAAACGGCTCGGTAGATTTTCACCTAAAACTAATCAATATTATTCGCAACTAATATCTTTCGAACAGATTTTGATCTTTCAAAATCGGTTCGGTGGGATGAGCTTAAATGTGGACGAAAGATTTAACACTTTTTTCCAAATTACAAAGAAACGGCTCGGCCGATCGTCGCACAAAACTGAGAAACGATAATCCTCATCGAGATATATCAAATGGTTTTTAAATTTTTGTAATCGGTTCAGGCATTTTTGAGCAAACGTCGATGAAAGTTCTAATTTTGACAAATGTTTTTACAAACTTTGACGAATTTTTAAAGCTAAACGAGTTGTCGTAGTGCCGTAATATTTTAGTATGATCTAGAAGACTGTGGTATATACCGTCAAAAAAATAATAATAAAAATCGACGAAAAAAATTTTTTAACACCTTATTACAAGAAAACGACCCGGTCGATCTCTACTAAAAACTAGTCAGGTCGATTCCCAACCAATATCTTTCGAACGATTTTTGAATTTTCAAAATCGATTCAGAATTGCGGGCTAAAACGTGAACGAAAAACTTTTCATTTTTCTGCTATTTACGAAGAAACGGCTTGGCCGATCGTCGCACAAAACTGACAAACAATAGTCCTCATCGAGATACATCCAATGGCTTTTAAATTTTTTAAATCGATCCAGCCGTTTTTGAGAAAACGGCGATTAACGGCAAAGAATCTGTTGGTGCATACGCACACACACACATTTTCCAAATTTGATCTCATTCGATTCAGAATGGCTTGAAACGTCGAGAAAACATAAAATTAGCGAATCGTATTTTTTGATGAAAACATAAACTTCTCCTTCGGGAAGTTAATACTTTTTCAGAGCCGTGTTTAGAAAGCCAAATATTCGTTACAGGAAACTGTAAAAATTCGCACAATTGTCGATACATGATTCAGGAATACACGCATGTTTTGTGAAATACTTATTATGACAATTCATTATACGTTTTACATTATGCCCCACAACACGTCGTTCTTTTTTCGTACTTCAACTGTATAGTCATACACTTTAATTAATTATGAAAACCAATCTAATTGCAAAATTAGATATTCAATTGAAAGTTCACACTTAGCATATCACTGTTAATATATTTTTTACCGTGGATGAAATTTATGGTAGTTTTGTCTCGCGATAGATTGAAATAAAAGATATAAAAATTAATAGGGAAAGCTGAGTACGGTTTTGCCAGGATACGGTAGTGATAGTCGTCATAACAGCTAAGTTATACTGATTTTGAGAAAGGGTCCAAGGAAAGAAAAATGTAGTATGTTTGTTTGAACAAGTTTCCATTATTACATTAAGTTTTCATGTTTGAATTCTTTTAATAATAAATGTTGCTTGTATACAGATAGATACAATACTTTATTATTTTGCTATTAGTTGAACGTTAGTAAATAATTACCTATCATAATGATGATTTGTCTCCAAAACTGTGCATTGGGTATGATTTGGACATGTATTTCTTGTCCTTTACGGAATAAACAGATTTTTTTTAACTTAAGGAGCACACCTAGTGTAAAATTTCCAAAAAATAGAATTTAGAATTTTTTTATATTTCAATAGATTATACCTTTAAAAATAGCATACTAAAATTTTAAATCAATATCTTAAATAGTTTTTGAGTTACAGCCATTTAAAAAAGTATATATAGTATATAAGTAAAACGATCATTTTATCTTTAAACGGATTTTTTTTCGATACAGCATTTTTCGAATTTGCAGGAGTGATTACTCGGAGACAAATGATCCAATCGCTATCAAAATTTTTTTGCAAAATTTTGCATCTCCTCTATATAGTTCTCCATACGATGACCCTCTACTTTTTTGATCTGATCAAAAATCGAATTCTGGCAGGCCAAAAACGACCAAAATTTTGGGAAAAATTTAACATTTTTGTTCAAAATGCCGCTATTTTGTCAATTTTTGATTTTTTTGTTCGCCCGAGGGTCATCGCACAGACAATATGTTTCAGTTTAACGAGATTTTTCTTTTTAATGTTTTATCAACGGGGAAGACTGCAATCACTCCAGCAGTGGAGGCCCTTTTTTTTGGCGCCGCCGGAGATAGCGTGTCATTTCAAAAATATTTAATATTTTATTTCAAAAAATTTACTGTTTATTCTCAAAAAATGTATAAATGAACCCTCAAAATGTTAAATAGATGGATTCAATAGTTTTTCTTTTTTCTAATTCCCACAAATGGCCTTTTTTTAGGTGATCACACTAGGTGTGTCCCTTAACTAAGACAAAATGAGAAAAAGAAAGGAAAAAAGGAAATTTAAATTAAGAAAAAAAGTTTTACAATTTTTTTTTATTATCTTTGATTTAAAAAATACGTTTTGTTATATATTGTCATAATAAATTCATAAGCTATGTTTAAATGATTATGTTGTGTTGTATAACAAATTTCTGACAATAAAAGTCGTCTCTGACTATAAAAGTTATTTTGTTGTTTATACCTATTGTTATGCCTGTCACAACATCCCTAAGGGGTGATGACGGTGGTGACACTCGCCCCTTTTTTGTATGTTTGATATTAAAACAAATCCATCGTATTTAAGGGCAGCATTTCGTTTCGGCATTTTCGCGTAGACAAATTGCAAATTAATTTACTTTTCTCCCAACTAACTGGTAAATTAATAAAATTATTGCTGATCAAGTGGCACAACCGTACCCAGTCTCCACTATTACAGTCAAATAAAGAATAATATAAAAGCACGAATAATACTTATCATGAACTTTGAAGATGAAAAGTTTTGCATATCTTCACGTTTTGAAGGTTTCTGAACATTTTGGCATAACTCAAAAAAATGGATTTTCGTCCACGTTTTCGGGCGCACGGATGAACCGATTCGAATAGTTAAAAAAACATTCGATTCCTATTGATAGGGAGATGTAGGTACTGATTAGTTTTGGGCAAAGGCAGGTCTAGCCGTTGCGGAGATACGGAGCAAAGAGTGCCGAAAATAAAAATCGAAATTTTGAGAGAACGGAGTATCCGATTTGAATGATCTAAAAACCATTCCATTTGCAATGATTGGTAGAAGAGGTGATTAGTATTTGGCAAAGGCAAGTCCAGCCATTTCGAAGATACAGAGCTAAATATGCAAATAATGGCAGTGTTTGAAGGAACTAAGTGTCCGCTTTGAATGATTCAAAAAACTTTCTGCTTGTTTTAACAAAATAATTGCTTTTGGAACAAAATGTTTGTTTGAATTTTTTTTCGAAAACATTTTTTTTTTGTATATCGAAAATAATTCAGATTTTAACTAATGTTCTAATATACTTTAAACAAATAATTTCAATTTGCAATTCGGATTATATAATTCTTATAAATATTAGACAATGTTAGACAATTTGAAAACATTTAATATTCCTCGAACATTTCGTTACGGTACGGGAAGTTCCAGCAATTTGTCTTAAGACACGACGCCACATACCACTAGTTATTATAAATAATTAGCAAATAATATACTATTAAAAATAAGTGCATCAAATTTCTAATATTTTTCCATAACGATCCAATTCGAATAAAAAATTCCAGTGACTTTAATTTTCATTACATTTTGTACCTAACTCATTATCAGAACAAACTGAAGAAAAATCTTACAACAAATTAAAAAATATATATTTTCTACAATGCTAATACGCTTTCAACCCTTTTTCAAGATTACAGGAAGAAATCATGAATTTCATTTCAAGTATTTTGTCATATACCTGTAAGGCATCATTAATTACCTATATGACAACTTCGACAGTCATATGCTTAACTTTCAAGCGTTGTTTTCAAAGAATATTACGCAACTTTCGCCATTATTTTCATCTCTCATTGTCAGTTTTGTAGAGAGATTCTGATCAGTCTATCATCTGGAAATTTGAATCTGTGCATGAATAAATCCGGTGCATGAATAAATAATTGAAACATATAAAGAAAAATCGTACTTTTTACTTCAACATTTAGTGTAGTTTCAATTTTTCTCGTGCATTTCAATAATTAAATAGTGAACAATTATCACTATCACCACCACGTGTTTTTTTTATATCTGTATTATACACATAATTCCAGTTCTTATGGATTGTCTTTTAAATCAGATATTTTTCGATATTTACTAACATTTGCTATGTTATCAACAAATTAGTGAAATCTGAAATACGTCGAGAAGCAGACGAGAACGTTTTCTATAGTTAGAATTATATTGGAAAGAATTCTCCAAAATATTTTGTTCATCATTGATTCAATTGTTTACAATAAATAATACACAATAAATGTATTACAAATTATTTTTCACATACGAAATTTTGGTATTACTTCATTGTATATATTATTGACATATTGACTTGTTACATATGTGAGAAAGTTTTAATGTAATAAAACAGCTGTTTTTCAAGACTAAATATAAGTCGATTTATAACAGTTGATATTCCAAATAACTTTATTACATTCATTGAATGACTAACATAACTAACAAATATTGATAAATTCAAGTTATTAATTAGACCATTACACCATTCTGTATTTAAGATCTAGAAATGTACTAGAAAATGGAGATAATATAAAGGATGGTCAAATTCAAAAAAGTAAAATAGCATGTAACATTTATTGTTAGCAACAGTTAACTAATGTTTTATTAGTACTAATATTTTATCGAACTAAACCCAAAAAGAGAACGAAGAATGGCGCCTCATCACAAGACAACAACCCGTACATAAACATACAAAATAGCATGAAACGCAAAATACAATAGTGAGAGTTCACAATAACGTTGATTAAGACACCTAATCAATATTGCAATGAACTGAACATATGTTATGACTATTAACAAATGGAATGAATATTTTGATTTGTCTAATCAATTCTCACCCCTTCTGTTGAAAGGACGTACTCTCACAGCCACTTTGATCTTATCAGTTGCCATTTCAATATCACTGAATAACACAATAAAAAAAATTCACTAATTTTAAATGCACCAGTATATATCCCACTTATAATCAAGCGTTTCTCATATCTAACCAATTTCAAACTTAATAAAACACATTTTACATTATCACTCAAACGCACAACAACTGACACTGTCAGCCATCTTGGTTTCTCGACTCATCACCGTTCGGTCTATACTCGTTCAGTACGGTGATCGCTGTCCCAACTGTCAAATATGACGTTTCTCATGGCACAAGTGGCACAAGTGTAGGTGCAGGGTGTAGGGATGTCAATGTAATGAAAACAAACTTTCAGCCATAGATAGATAATAAATATAGACCGTTGACTCGGTGAGTATAACACATCATTTACATCTGGTGTTGGCGCCAAGTTAACTTCGTGGTAGCGGTAAATTAGAATCAAAGTATTTTTTTCATAATCTCTTATACCTGCCTGGGGGGACTGAGATATGTAAAATATACATTTAATGTTGTCGGAATGTAAATAATAATAATATAATGATTAAATAGGATAATAATAATATAAATACAAAGCGTGAGTTTTTTTTCTGACTGTGAAAGATTCACTTATTATGTTTCTATGAAAAGTACCTTCATAAATCTTTTCATTTATTTTGTTGAAGTAAAATTTCTTTAGGCTTAACTAGGGTGTAAATCCATACAAATGCAACGCAAAAAGCGTGGCAGCCGAGTCAAGTGCCAATAGATAAATAAGCATAATTACAGCATAGCATATCATAAATTACAGTATGCACAGTAAACCCTCGCTTTACGCGGCAAGTGCGTACCGTGCAGTATGGGGACCGTGCTATAAAAAAATCGCATTTAACATACAATTCAAAAATTGGCGCGACACAGTAGCTATTATATAAAGCGAATGGCAACGGGCAAACGGGTATTGATGGAATTAATAAATGATGTGTGTTAGCCACTAACACGATCTATGGAGTTTGACCATCATCAGCAATACCAACAAGAAAAAGTATCACTTGAAAATTCAAAATAAATAATGACTTGTCAAATATTATGGCACAGACTGCAATAACTGCATTTAAACATTTGGTGTTTGCTCGTTATTTATTAAAAAAATGACTTCTTACGAGTTTTTTGGATGGGATTTATTATATCATGTAATAGAAAATGATATTCAAAGAAAAGAGGATATTTTAGTCGCTTTTATACATTGGTATCTTTTAAAGCAAGGATTTAGATGCCTCGGCGCTGGTGAAAATGTAAGTTAATTTTGTGACTTACACCGCACTGTTTAAAAATTGATGTGTTATAGAGGACAATTACTTCAAGTGATGTGCCCAGTGAACTTTTACCAAGGGGTTGGAGTGGTCAAGAAAAAACAACTCTTCGTTATACTAAAGACAACGAATTATACATTATGCATGGCATGTTTAACGAAGGATCAGCCTTTTTTAATTTTTTGGTAAATATAGTATTAAATTGCTGTATGACATTATTATATCGTTCAATTTAAACTGTCATTTTTTGCTGTAGAATGTGGAGACCTTAGTTGTTTCTAATGCAGCATTTATTGTGAATGATACTGTTGGTTCTGTCCATGGTACTCTTTCTGAGCTCATTCCCAAACACAATGAAGTGATAAACTCTATTAGATTAAACCTTCTTGATCCTGTTTTTGCTGGAAGTTCCAGAGAAGCTGAGACTCAGACACCACAATCCTCCGCAAATCCAAGACAAGATTTACCAGATCCTCTTGTTCGACCTCGCTCACCACCCGGGTACAGTGTGTGAAATGGAATTTTAGATATAAGATTAAATTTGTAATGATGTAATTTGTTTGCAGGCGATCTTTGAATATAGATTTGCTTAGAGATATAAATGAAGCTGGAAGACGGGATATGAACCCGGCAGGCATAGGACGACCAGGACCTACAGGTAATAATGAGAATAATGACGCAAAAGTGAACAATAACAGTGAATTATTATCTACTGCAGGTTTTAATCCAAATGGCACTTTTGGGCATTATGATCCTTTCCACCCAGGATATCGTGGGCGCGGTGGTTCTCAACCAGGATTAGGGGTACCAGGTGGTGTGGCAAGGTGAAATTGACAACACTTGACACTGTAGGTTTTTATGACTTAAGAGGATGATAAAGCATTTTTATTTATTCAGGGGTAGCATAATACCTGGTGCTAGATTTGATCCTTTTGGACCTCCGAATCCTGATCAAGTGCGCCCTGGTAGAAGACCACCCCCCGATAGCGATCATATGCCACCGCCAGGCTTTGGATATGATGACATGTTTTCATAGAGTTAATATTTATTTCTGTCAATTGAAGTACTGTTTTTAATTATTTTAATTATATATATAAATAAAGTTTTTTGAAGAAATGTTGAAGTTGTTAAAATATTTTGATGAATGTTTTAAATAATTTATTAGGAGAAAATATATTAACAGTAGTACGTACAATAGTATGAGCCTATAATAAATATTTCACGACCTATATATAAATATATATATATTTAAAGGAATTCTTCACTTGCAAATAGTTGGCCATTCCAAGCCACAGAGATGCAATAGTGTTGGAACAATTGAGTAAGAAGTTCTCCTTCATCTAGCATTTCTATATGCTCTATCCTTTCTCGTTCAGCTGAGGATAACATATTATAAATCTTTACCATATCCCAGCTGTGGCATCCCAGCCAACCAGCATCTAGAAATCTAACATAAAACTTAAAATATTTATAAGTCAACCAAAGTACAAAAATAAATAAATGTTTGATGAAGCTCAATCCTTTTTCAGAAAATTAGTTAGCATTATGTACGCAATATTAATATTGATTATAGTTTTATAAATGAATTTCAAGTGACAATATTATTTCTGTTAGCTTCATTATGTACTTCGTGTATATGTAACTAAATCCACTCAACAGCTTCACACAATTATTTAGTTTTTAGTTGTTTTATGGTTTGTGTTACAATAATATAAGTATAAGTAGCACCTTTGTTGATGAGTTTCAATATTAGCGCAAGCACTGACACCATCCAGACAACAACCTCGAGATGCTAAATTAGATAGCATTACATTTCCAAATCTATCATTCATATTCACCTGAAAAAAAAATAGATTACCTGATATATATATATATATATATATATATATATGTATATACATTTATCTATATACCTGTTCGTAATTAATAAATAAAGCAGACTTAAACCTGGAAGCAAATAAATTGAGCATTTTTTGACTATGTTGTAAATCTATATAAACCAATACACATTCTGCAATGAATAATGTAGGAAGTTCATAATTAACCTCAGCTTGATTTAATTTATTTTCTATATCAGTGATATTCCTCAAATCCAGTCCGATAAGATGATAATTACTTGCATGTAAATCAGTAGTACTCAATTTTATTTCACCATCTATGAAACAATAACAATAATAATATTAAAATATAAGAAACCTTAACAGACATTTTTATAGAATTACCTTCACCATGAATTTTTTCAAGAAGAACTTTATTTCGCTTTATAGCATAACACTTTCTAGACGTGACTGTCGGAAAGTCAATTTCTATAAAGTTATGAATTTTCTGATTGACATCTTTCAGCCTCCAGTACAAAGTGTCAAAACCACAGCCAAGATTAATAATTTGGCTTTTGCAACCACTCTTCTGCAATAGTGCAATAGATTAATCAAATAACTGTAAATGAAAACAAGAAGCATACATATAAAACTTACTTTTAAAAATTTGTCAATGAACAATTCAACACCTTTGACTCTAGCATAATAACCTCTATTAATTTCTGGAGCCTTCCTCTCGCAATTCTTAACAAAATATGATATATACTTGTCGTCCCAATATCCTAAATTCACAGCACATTTCTTGCACTCGCTAGCATCATTGTTTGTGGCAATGACTGCTTCGTCACCTGTATATACATTGGCATAATTCATCCTGTGTTGATAAAAAATGCTTTAAGGACAAATTAGGCTATGAACGTTTTCATCTCACAGCATTAATTATATCCTGCGTCTTATTAATACATGTAACTTTCTTAAAATCACTTCTGTCATGTTATCATGGATGTAGCCAAGTTCATTTTGACAGAATTCGATACTCTAAAACATGACGTCTTGCGCGAACGTGTTGGTATGATATTCGCGCCATAGACATTTCAGGCAAATTCAATTTTCAACGCATATTATTTTAAAACATATTTTATTTTACAACTATACAGCAGTGTAATTTAAGATAATTTCGAGAAAATATGCAATTTACTTTTAAGAACATGTTATTATTACAAGGTTTGTCCTTTTCAATTAGCTACATAGAAAACATACCGCTGAAGCCTATTTGTATAGAACCCGGGTCCTTTTCTCTAAGTAGTTCATATTTTCGAATAGGATACCTCAATAGCATATTTTATAATACACTGTTGTTGTGAATATTGGCGTCTCAATGGATAACTCCAGATACAGTAAACCCTCGCTTTACGCGGCAAGTGCGTACCGTGCAGTATGGGAACCGTGCTATAAGAAACTCGTATTTAACATACAATTCAGGCTAATTCGTAGTGCGTTCTATGGAACCTTACATAGTGCAGTATGGGATCTGTACTATGAGAGATTCACAGTTGGTACAAATCGGACCATTTTTATCGCGCTGTATGGAGACCAAGAAATACAACTTGAAGTAGGAGTAATACGGACGAAATGACATGTAGTACATTGACACCTTATTCAAAAATTGGCGCGACGCAGTAGTGAGCTCAAATGTGTTCTTAGGGTTCTTAGGCAGCTTTCATATAATCAGGCATGTCTAAAAGATAAAAGTCGATAACAAAATTTACATCAATACCCTTTTGCACAACGAACTTATGGGCTGTTGACCAAATACCGTGTAATAAGAAGTCCGTGTAGTCGGAGGGATGTCGGATTTTTAGCTCCGTGTAGTATGGGAACCGTGTATCCAGAGTGCCGTGTAAAGCGAGGGCCTACTGTAAATAGATTTTTTAAATCACGTTCAACTTCACTGACTTGAAATTATTTTATAAAATTTCTTTTCTATGTGTCTGAACTTGACTTTTGTTTTTGAAGGATGTACCAACCAGTTCTAGCAAAGATAATAAAAAAAATCGAATGAAAGAGAATTGCAATGCAATAATTGGGTTTATTATTTTTGACGCAATTATGCGCTGCATGGTAGATGAAAGGAAATTGAACTGAAGTCTATCATCTTAAGTTTTCCATGTGCCTGTGGTAGACTTTTCCAGCGACAGCTTGATTAATCTTAGCTTTTTACAGGCTGGTATCCAGGATTTTAGACTCAAACGAAATTTGCAGTTTCCCAGCCATATTTTTTCGCATGTTGCGGAAGGGGCGCGCTCTAAAATAACAATACACTGGGGCCTCGCCTAGATACGTTCCGCAAAACTTGGCCGTAAAGCGAAAAGCCGTATAACGAATCAATTATTCTAATATGTATTCATACAAATTCAATGGGATCGGTTCCAAATTTAATAAATATATAATATGGTTTATCATTCAAAATGCATTTTATTTTTTTATTTTGTTTAAATTATAAACATATTTAACAAGAACATAAATTTTACATAAAATAAAAAACTTCAAAAACATTCCATAATTTTTAAATAAAAATGAAACAACTAAAACCTACAGATCACTGTCACCATCATTTTGCGCTGGTGGTTTGAAAAATTTGTCTAAAGTTGTTTGTCTTGCCTTCTTGTCTATTTCTTCCTTTAGTGATTTATAACAGCTAATGGCTGAGTTAATTCCTCGAGACACATTAGTGCTACGTTCGACGTCAGGATCGTTTTCGAAGAGGATGTTTATTTCTTGTTCAAAATATGAAAAAGCGCTCGACATGATTTTTGATGTTAGCTGTTTGGATACAACAGGTTCTGTATCTTCATCAATTGCCGGCTCTGCTTGCAACTGAATGAGTTCCTCATATGAAAGGGGTTCCCTATCAGCTGCAAGTACATAGATCCAGCACATCAGATTCGTTTAAATCTTCAAAATCGAGATCATGTGCTAAATCCAAAATATGTTTTGTCTAACTTCAGGAAGAAAATTAACTTCTGCATCGGTAGTTTTTATACATTCTGGCTATATTTTTTTCCAAACTTGGTTCATTGTTGTCGATTTCATTTCCCTCCAGGATTCACTAATGTTCTCAACAGCATCCTTGATATTATAGTTTTTCCCAAACGTTTGAACATTTGAAACGTAAAGATATATAAAAATTTTCATTTTCGATTTTTTTACGGGAAGTTAAAAAAGCCGTTATAGCAAAACATTTTAGGCCGTATATCGAAAACGTTCCTTAATTAAAGAGGGCCGTTATAGCGAAAGGCCGTATAAAGAGCGGCCGTATAAAGAGCGGCCGTATAGCGAGGCCTAGGTGTACAGTACAACCTCGTTCATCCGGACCTCGGTTATACGGATTAGCGATTATCCGGACTACCAACCGCAACCAATTTATATGTATGTACATTCTTACAAAACGAATTTTTGCATAATTCATGCTGCAATTTAGTATTTGCATGTAACGTAATCTAAGAAACATGTATGTACATATTTCTCAATTTTTCAATTTTTATTATAATCCTTTTTAACAAATACAATTTTATTTTATTTCAAATTAACTACATATATTTTCCATAAATTGACAAGATTCGATCCAAATAAGATCCCTGTCGTGTGAGTCGAACACGCTACTAAGTGAGCTATGCTCGCCACATACATAAAGAAGTGTTAATTTCTTAATAAACATTGATTTTTGTTGATATCTATGTATGTATTTGCTATTTTTAATAAATACACAACATTATAATTAGAGAATAATTATTCTTCATATATTGGATTATCCGGATTTTTGACTACCCGAATGCCCATCGACAACGCAATTAGTCTGGTTAATCGTGGTTGTATACTGTATATTAGTGTTATTTTTTCATTGTAATATTTTTTCCATACAAGATTTGGAAATGGGATGGGCAATTTATTAAAATTGCATAAAAAAATTATTATAATTGATTAGATTGTATTTAAAATAGGAAAATTTATTCCTTAATCATATTAACTATAAAATTTACTAGTTGTAATATTGTTGCCTTAAGGCAAGTTGCATGCATTTTCAGATACGTGTAAATAATCGACTTTATCAATAAGAATTATAATTAGCTATTTAGATAAAAGTTCAACTGTTTGTTTGAAAAATTGTTTTTAATGGAAGAGCGTCATCGGCAACGATGACATATGGCACCGGAATTGACTGGCCACGTAATGGCTTTGCTTCGGGTATATTCAAAGAGTTGTTTTCCAAACATGCCGATAGTGAACAGTTCGCATATACGCCCCCGTCTGAGACTCTCCGATTACTACCTACATCTATATACAAAAATTTATAATCAGCATTAACTATAGCCATTAATACAATTCCTGAATCTTCTGGTGCCTTCATTACCACATGTTTTCCATCAATAGCTCCTATGCAATTTGGGTAGTTCCAGGTAACATCAAATCGCTGTGCTTCATTTTCCCACTCCTCTGATGTACCAGAAATCTGTAAAAATAAGAACAAAACATTTAATTTTCATTTAATATTTTAATTGTTTTTAGGACCATGATGAGGAAATGAAAAATAATTCAGATTACGCACAGACGCCAATTACGCAGGAAGTAGACAATCATCCTTCAGGTTCAAGAGGGTCTGGACAGACTTCTGTTACAAAACCTCATAAAAAAACAAAACGGGCACCCGATTCAGTTAAAAAGGATGATGAGTTGCTGAATGAAGCTTTAACTTGTTTACAAGCTCCGAAAGATCAATGGGACCTATTTGGAGAGTTTGTTACTGCAGAGTTGAGAGGAATACGCTCTGAAGATATCCGAAAAAAATTAAAACGCAAGATTCAGAGAGCTATTTTAGAGGCAAATGAGGAAGACGACATGCGAGAAGTATCCTCCCCCATTACACACTCTATGCTCTCTCCAAGTAATTTGAGTGAGTACTCCGGTACATTGAGCACTCTAGTAGTATACCAGATGATTTCTCGAACGCAAAACGAGACTACTGTAAGATTATGTAACGCCCATTTTAAATCATTTCATTTTCATATTAAATCATCTTGTGATTGTTGATACAGTAATAAATCTTAATAAAAAAATATACTTCAATAACTAAATGTACCAATTAATCGATTATTACGCGCCAATTAATAGATATATTACTCGCAAAGTTTTCTTAACCCTCTATGAGTAAAATTTTGTTTTACATAAAAAAAAATAGGGGTACAAATACTTCGAGTTTAGTTAATTAGTCACAACTGAACTGGGCAACTAGTGGATGCCATCCGTTCAAAAAAGCCATATAAACTCTAAATGAGCTATAAATATTTAGAAAAAATTTAATAATGAATAATATCTGAAATGTGGCTTGATAGTTACAAAAAAGTTTAAGTTGAAATAAATAAGGCCAATAATTTTGTAGGTCGAAACACGTAGAAATGTTGCAAATTATAAGAATAATTTAATGTGTCATAAAATATTTGAAAAAAAGGTATTAACGTTCCCTTTTTGCATAATTTTTAAATGTTTGTTTTAATTTTTTTTAAATTATTGACAATTTTATATTGTTATGCTTAATGTCGTTTTAGTTCTATATTAACTTAAGTTAATTTTTACAGTAACGATTCTAATTCTGTATTCTCATATCTATAAATTTTGAGTTTTGCTCAGTTCAGTACAAAAATTAATGCAAACTTTAAATTTTTTAATAAACTCAACTTTTACTGCATTATAATGTGAAAAACGTTAAATATGCGTCTGCTATATTTTCAGTGAAGAAGACTTACGTGTTTGGTACAAATTAAAAAAAAAAATTACATTGTGTTTCAGTAAGGTGACCATACGTCCCGGTTTGGCCGCGACAGTCCTGGATTTCAACCTAGTGTAGAGCAATAATTGTCCGGATTAAGACATTTTGTCTCGGATTGTCTCAGGTTT